GGCCGACTTAACGAAAAGAAGAGGCGACGCGCGGGCTTCGAAGCACGCAATCGAAAGCGACGACCGGGATTTTCACCGAGCCGAGCGAAGTTTCACTTCTAACCTGAATTCGGCGAAGACGAGGGTGTGCGTATATGTATGTGTGTTGTCTCGACTCATAACTACTTGTCATCATCATTATCGGCGAACGCTAGACGGAGGATTTTACGTTAGCATTAATTACTCACCGGACATCGCGAAAGTACGTCGCGTGGAGCTACGAGGTTGCTATATTGTGGTAAGTTCAATAGGGTCAGGTACTTGCGTATCACGCGAGAGAGAATAACATGCAGCGATTAATCAGAATCAATCAATCAACAGGCTCGAGCGTTGACAGGCTGACTATATAGATCCCGCGAGAGAAAGAGAAAGAGAGGAGAAACATCATTTCCAAGAATATCGCACGACTCGACCAAGATGTGGCCGAAGGACGTTGGCATCCGGGCTATAGAGATCTACTTCCCGGCGCAGTACGTGGAGCAGACGGAACTGGAGGCGTACGACGGCGTGTCGGCGGGCAAGTACACGATCGGCCTGGGCCAGTCGCGAATGGGTTTCTGTAACGATCGTGAGGACATCAATTCGTTGTGCCTCACCGTTACTTCTCGGCTGCTGGAACGTTATAAAGTCAAGCCACAGAACATCGGCCGATTGGAGGTAGGCACCGAGACCATCCTCGACAAGAGCAAGTCGGTGAAAACCGTGCTGATGCAACTGTTCGAGCCGCACAATTGCACCGACGTCGAGGGTGCGGACACCAGCAACGCCTGCTACGGTGGCACCGCCGCGCTCTTCAACGCCATCGCCTGGGTGGAGAGCAGCGCCTGGGACGGTAGATTGGCCTTGGTTGTCGCAGCCGACAACGCGGTGTATTCCACGGGCAGCGCCAGGCCTACGGGTGGCGCGGGCGCGATAGCCATCCTGGTAGGTCCGGATGCACCACTCGTGTTCGACCGTGGTCTCCGAGCTTCCTGCATGAGGCACGCTTACGACTTTTACAAGCCGAACATGCGCTCCGAGTATCCCATGGTGGACGGCAAGCTGTCGATCCAATGCTACCTCAGCGCTCTGGACAACTGTTATCAGTTGTACCGCGAAAAGGTCAAAAGGAAGAGCCCCGGGGAGAGCCCCGTCACTTTGACCAACTTCGACGCGATGCTCTTTCATTCACCATACTGCAAACTCGTACAGAAATCATTCGCTAGGCTGGCCTTTATCGATTTCCTTAACACGCCGGAGAATCAGATTCCCGACAGCTATAAAGACGCAGTGAAATTCCATGCTGCCAAGCTCGAGAACACTTACTTCAATCAGGACATTGAGAAGATGTTCATGCAACTGAGCAAGGCGGACTTTGAGCAAAAAACTCAGCGCAGTTTGCTGATAGCGAACCAAGTTGGAAACATGTACACACCATCGGTGTACTCCGGTTTAGTATCATTACTTGTATCAAAGCCGATAAATGAATTGGCAGGCAACAAGATTGGCATATTTTCGTACGGCTCGGGCCTCTGCTCCAGCTTGTACTCGTTGACGATAGCGAGGGACACGCGTGAAGGTTCTGGCTTATCGAAAATTATCAACGCTCTTTCCTACGTCAAGTCGCAATTAGAAGGACGTCACTGTGTTTCCCCAAAGGACTACACCGAAATTCTGTCGTCAAGAGAACGAAATTGTCATGTTGTGCCATTCACTCCGCAGAGTAGTATAGACGACATGTTTCCGGGCACATATTACTTAACGCAGGTGGATAAACAGTATAGGAGGACTTACAAAAGAGTATGAGATCAATGTGTTAGATTTCAAGGTTTAGGATTGTTTATAGTCAATTTTATTCTACAAAGATATATATATATATGAAATAAAAGGTTCGAGGTTTTGCTTGATTATGAATTTTTGTTAACAATTATATGTATAAAACAATAATATAAATATACGGACAATGACACGTTAACACAGCGCGGGAATTGATGTGCAATTTATGTAATAGTCAAATAATATTTACATAATATATTAAAATTGTACAATGACTGTCGATACAAACTTACTTGAACGTTTCGGTTTTCTTCAAACCATCTTCAGTAAATTCGTAGATCATTATCATAGATGTTTTGAAAAAATAGTTGGAAAATGTTGAAATTATGCTTTATGTGAGACCGAGGATGAGTATCTCCCTACTGTCTGGTTGAGAATTGCCCAATTTTTGTCTCTTCGCTGTTTAGTCAAGTGACTAACTGAAGAATACAGTAATTATGCTTACTGTATTCTTCAGTTAGTCACTTGACTAAACAGCGAAGAGACAAAAATTGGGCAATTCTCAACCAGACAGTAGGGAGATACTCATCCTCGGTCTCACATAAAGCATAATTTCAACATTTTCCAACTATTTTTTCAAAACATCTATGATAATGATCTACGAATTTACTGAAGATGGTTTGAAGAAAACCGAACGTTGAATGAAGCGTCTTCGTATAAAGAAATCAAGTCTGTTTTGATCATTTTTTTGTCTCGATATACGTTAATATATTATTTCTTATCGCATTAATATTTATTACAAACTTATTAATTATATTTCTTAAAGAATTTCTTATCACAAACTATTAATTATATTAAAGAATTATAATTAACAAAGAAATTTTATATATATTATATTACATTACGCATAGCAAATATCAGGCATATGTAAGAATCTCAGGCACTCATGTGACTCTCTCTCTCTCTCTCTCTCTCTCTCTTCTCTCTCTCTCTCTCTCTTTAACAAAAGATATTTTGATAGAAAAGATATTTAGATTGAAACTATTATAGCTTCTTTATTGATTTGTAAAATGAAACATAACTACTTTGCAACGTCGTTCTCTCCTTATATTGTCAATTAAAAATGTTTTCAAATATGTCTATAATTCGCCGGAATTTAACTATTATCATTGGTAGCTTGCTCATATTTACATAAGTTTAACAACGACGATGTTAGATCTGTTTGCGTTGCTGGCATTTTTTGCATTCAGAATCTTCGCTTTCTCTTTCTTCAATATCCAAATATGTATATCTAATTTTAAATAAAAAAATTATTTTTAGAATTTCAAGCCACGTGAACAGACCTATTACATGTACCAGAACTGGGATTTAGTTGCACATTTCAGCCGATTTTCAGCTTGGTTCCTGCCCCTTACCTCATCAACCCGCGCGGGTTGATGAGGTAAGGGGCAGGAACCAAGCTGAAAATCGGTCGAAATGTGCAACTAAATCCCAGCTCTAACATATACGATGTAAAAACAGCATTATAAAGTGCCTTACGTAAGATTTTTTTTATACAAGAATAAAAAGAAAATGTTTATACATCTATGCTAATACTAGTTTTCTACATTTTTTAATATGCGATGAATAAATTAACGTACAAGAGCAACAAAACATTTGTGATATTTAAGATTTAATTTCAAATTAATCTTTGTGAATTTATGGTCAGTTTTAACATCGGTAATATATTTGAATTATGTTGTCAACTAGAATTCTATCTCGTTTCTAATCTCTACCTCGTTTCATCTTGTTTAAGTATAGTTGTTAAATCTGCAATATTATTTTGATGCAATAAAAACGAGTGAATATTAGCTAGCATTTTATGACCTTTTAATGCATATGCTATTAATATAATGTATATGCTATTTATATACACTTACAGCATGTTAATTCATATTAAAATTAACAATTGTCTGAACTCGTACAATTCCACATAAACCGAATAATGATGTTGACATGAATCAATATTTATATAATTAAATTGACTTTATGTAGCAAAAAACTTTCTCATTAAAAAATGATTAGTTTTTTGTCTCTATTATAAATATATTTCAACGATTATCAAATTTATAAATAAATTACAATTTATAATATAGAATGAATTATTTTTACAATCAATATACATTTATGCAAAGCTGAAGCAATTCTTGTATCTCAAATAGATCAACGTAATACATAAACCCATGTTAACTAACAAAATCAATATACTAAACATCATGTATTTTTAAGAAAAATATATTTTTGAACTGTCTACATATACATATAGTATAATAAATATTTTCAATTACTTCTCGTGTGGTACAATTGCTCGCAAAATTAATCAATGTTTTAAAAATTTCATAAATTTTTTTATACAACGAAAAGGAGATAAAACATCAAGTTTTATTCTCGATAGAATATAAGTAAAATTTATTTAATAACAAGCTTCTAAATTCTTGTGTACGCAATTTTGAAACACTTGATCAATCTTGTGAGACAGTATTATTTTGCGTATTATTTCGGCGCACAATTGTAATATTTTAAGGTTCAACATAAATTTGTTTTATACAATATCCTTTCTTTGCACACAGTTCAGGCAGTTTCATATCTAATTATATTTATTAACAACGGAATTTATTAAAAGTGGATATGTACATTCTTTTCATGTCTAACAAGATTTTGTTTTATTCACTTTGATTCGCTTCGACCGAATATTGTCTTCTTCGTTATTTATGTTAATATATATATATATTTTTTTTTCGAAAGATGCAATTATACCGAGATGCAATTATACTCTAGTAATCTAGATTCGCGAGAACACTTTACTTGGATATATTCTCTAAGGTTTTACGTATCTTACTATGAGGTTTTAGTATCTCTTGTCAAAAACATAATTTGCATTCGCAATGAGTATTTCGAGAGAATACACGCAACATAAGTATCAAAAAAATATATTACGACTTATACATAAGCAGTAATAGAGATTCGTTATATCTTCACAAATAACAATAGCGTTTGTTTAAACGAAACGCATTTTACATGCTTGCTCGCATTCCCATTGCCTTTCAACGTTGAATGCGAATCTGAATTATTATATAAATTATGTTTGAATTATGTCCGAATTATTTAATATTAAATTGGTAAATTTTAATATTGAATTTTAATATTAAATTTTAATATTTAATTATTAAATTATTAAATTTAACAAAGATCAAGTATTAAACAATCGCTTTTAGCGCAAAATGCACAATGAGAATGCGACACTGTGGATTAGTACTTACAGCTTCTAATTGGTGCTCGGCGATTGGGAGGCCAAACTTCATATTCGCCGTAACAACATTCGTATGTGCAAATAAATAAAATAAATAAAAGAAAACACATTAAGTTACCACTCGCAATTTAAATCTGCAAACGTCTCGATTATACTTCGCGAATATCTGTGCGTTTAGCGAAAATGTGACGTTTTAAGGCACTAGATACTCTAGATCTCTTCAGTATTGGGTAAAGTGTCAACACGTGTGCGTAAGTGTAAATGTATATTTGTACGTTTTTGTTAAATCGCATATAAAAATATACATATGTGCTCTTCCCGGAACAGCGAATTTTTGGAGTAGAAATGATTCGTTTTTTACTCTAAAAATTAGATCTTTATCGCGAGATTCATGTCTCTCAAGATTAGATATAATAGCTACTGTTCCAATCCACGCGATAGAAAAATAATATCTTGAATTTGGCACCTGAATATCTTTCTGCTGTAACGATAGAATTACGTTGGTCGTGTATAGTCTACTTTGTATCGGGCTACAATAAGATAAAGGGCAGTGAAATTTTTATAAAAAGATAAGATTCATACGATGTTTTAGAGAAATCCTTCACACAGCATACTAATTTCTAATTTTTCAATTATCATTTCAAGAATAGTAACGTTAAAATGTACGGTGCAGACGAAATCATGCGATATCACATTCGTCGACTGCCTTTCATCTTATCATTGAACACTCAGTTCATAAAAATTTCGGTCATCCAGCGCATCGAACGATATGTCAAAGAATTTAAAATATTTTATAAGAACAGCCCGAACAAGAAGATAGATTTCGACCGACACCGAGCTTCACTACTTCCTCCTCGCTCGCACTAATCTGACGATTATCGTGTCGTCTCTAAAAACAAATAATGCGTTTATTTTTTTAATTTAAGTATTTTTTGTGCGATATAGAAAATCTTTACCTTAAGTTCCGATGCCAGATAAAAAAAGATGGAATCTATATTTGTGTTATCTTTGGCTGAGGTCTCCACTACGTGCAAAACTTCCGGCAGGTATTGGCATAGGGCTTCAGCTTCTACTTTCTTCACCTCGCGTAGATCCTCTAAATCACACTTATTACCTGCAAAGCAAAAAATTAAGTCACTGCGCAATACAACATCATAATGGCATGATAATTATTATAATGTATGCACATAAAATGATCGTACCAACTAATACCAGTAACACATGCGACGACGAGTACCTCCGGACTTCTTCCACCCAACGTTGTAAACTTAAGAAAGTCGATCGCTTCGTAATATCATAAACTAAAATAATCGTGTATCGTTTATTAGAATGCTGCTGTAGTAACATAATTTTTTAGGTAATAGAAATCGTACAAAGAAAAAAAAAGTACAAATCTGTTGTCCTGACAGAACACATACATAATTTCTATTAATTTTTTTATTAAACTAATTTTTAAATTATTTAAATTAATAGTACATTACATGTTAATAAAAAACAATCTATTGCATCTTGATGTGGAATATAAGGATTCACAATTAGTTACGTACCTACAATTACCCCATTTGCAGATCTATAGTAACTCTGAGTTATTGTTCGAAACCTTTCCTGTCCTGCAGTATCCCATATTTGTAACTGTCAATAACAGAATATGAACTTCAGTAATCATTATGATTTTAAATATTAATAATCATTATCTAAATTAATAATCATAATCTATGAATTCGAACAGATTACATTACTCTCTTGGATTGTACAAAAATTTATCAATGTTTAATTGCTTCAAAAGGATGTTTAATAGCTTCAATAAGATATTTAACTTAGAAATTTATAAATTAATTATACAAAGAGTTTCATTAGAAGAAAGTTCAATCTCAAATTGAACTATATGATCCAGACACAGACGACACAGCAGTCCATTTATAAAAGCCTTATTTATGTAATTTTTTATCAATTACAAATTCTTTCTATCTTTTAACTCTACTCTTTCTCACGTTTCCTCTCCTCTTTCTATTAAAATTAGAGTCATGATATACACTTATTATTAATCCATTTTATCAGATCTATTTTTTATAACTGAACTAGTATATACTTTTTATACTTAAAGTAAAATAGTTATATGTTTAAAATTTGGCGAGAAAGATAAAGAAAATTCTTGTACAGTCCAGTACAGCAATAAATAATAAACAGCCTAATAATAATAAAAAAAAACATAATAAACACAGAGTACTGCAGAGTGTACTGATAACCACAAATTTTTGAGAAGACTTGTAGAAGTCTGTGTTGATAACGCAATCGGAGCATAGGTTAAACTTGATGCGAATGCATGTTTGGAGTACGGCGCACCTTCACCCTCTTGCCGTCAATGAGCACGGTCTTCATGGTGAAGTCGACGCCGATGGTGTTGCCGTGGCGCTCAACAAATGTTCCGGACCTGAAGCGCTGCACCACGCAAGTCTTGCCCGTGCCGCAGTCGCCGATTAAGACGATTTTGAACAAGTAGTCAAAGCTCTCGTCGTCGCTCGTATTCATCATGAGGTTGTCGGGGTTGCGGCACGACATTCTCAGGACGAGGACTCACGCGAAGGCGAGGGCGACGACGACGGTCACGAGGACTTTGCGCTTGGCGGACGACTACCTACGCCATCGCCGTGTCCAGGAGCCTCCCCAAGTCTCTCCTCATCCAATTGCGTCCATTTTGGTCCATCTTACCATTTACCATCCCGCTGCCTGCGATCCGTATCAGTGGCGAATCACGGAACTGCTGACCCCCCTTCCTTTTTGTCTTCCTGCTTTCTTTTCGGTTCCTTTCCTTCGCGTGATTGCGTTTATCTATGAATCTTCTTTTCTTATTGTTAGATATATCTTATTTGAGATTTGAGACAAAGCGTCCGAGCAAACGAGAAATATATGAAAAATTGAATAAAAAAAAAATGAACGAGAGTATAATAAGTCATATACCAGGTGTATGCATAAGTCTTTTCCGGTTTAACTAAGAGATGGCCCCAGCGAAACGTACGCAGCGTATTAATGGTCGCGTTCAGCAGACTCAACTGTTGTGGAGTGGATCCGTGAGCGCTCGCTGCTATTGGTGTATTCTTTTAGATTATCCAATAGCAGCGAGAGCTCACTGATCCGCTCCGCAACAGTTGAGTTTGCTGAACGCGATCAATTTGATACATACGCCATTTTGTTCGTCTGACATTTAACTACAAACACACACAAGTTGAGTCCGCCAAAAACTAGCGTCTTTGTTTTATCGTTTAGTGATCATGTCGAGTTTTGTGCCTGAAAAAGAACATTTGCGGCACGCATTGCTTTTTTTATTTAATCAAAAGAAAAAGGTCGTTGAAAGTCATCGTTTGCTGGTAGAAACATATGGTGAACACGCTCCATCGATTAGAACATGTAAGATATGGTTTCGACAATTTAAAAGTGATTTCAATGTGAAAGACAGTGAGCGCTCTGGTAGACCACAAAAATGCGAAGACGAGCAATTGCAGGAGTTATTGGATGAAGACCCAACTCAAACTCAACGGCAATTAGCAGAAGCATTACATGTATCACAAGAAACAATCAGCAGACGTTTACGAGCAATGGGAAAGATCAATAAACTCGGTAAATGGGTCCTACACAATTTTTTTTACCAAAAAACCGGAAAAAACTTATGCATACACCTTATAAGAATTAAAGTATTTAGGATAAAAAAGTAGTACAAATTGATTTATTCTACAATAAATATTAAATACTTCTATTCTGTATAGCACATTAAGGGGTTATGCCTGTCTGTAAACTTAAAAAAAAAAAATCGATTTTTGGATTTTGATATTTTTTCTTAAAGTATAATATATACTTTCAAAAATATTCCCTAAATTTCAAGTCGGTTCGACAAAAATTGACGAAGTTATGTGAATTTGAAGGTATACTGGTTTGAAACAGGTATAGAACGTCGCTCACAAAAGCAGTCCCTTTCTGCGAGTATATAAGTAATCTGTTCTGTACTAGTACAATTTATACTTATGTTCAGGGCTGGGTAATCATTTAAAATGCCAAATATAAAATACTTAAAAAATGTAGTTAAAATGCAAAACGTTTTTCAAATCCACTTTATATGTAAAACGGATAAATAGATATTTTAAATCATTTTCATATACAAAATGGTTTTCATTTTTTCAGTATTTTACATTTAGCATTTTTAATAGAATTACATTTTAAATGGCATTTTAAATGCAAAAATAGCCCTGCTTATGTTAGTATATACATAAGGCTATACAAAAATTTACTATATGGCCCTGGAATAAACTTCGTGTAAATTGAAAAATTTGCATCTTATTTGGTTGTAAACTTAATTTGAAACTTCAAACGCATTTTTCTCAAAACCGCAATTTTAAAATCGGTGACCAAAATATCTCAAGAACCGCTGCATCGATTAAAATGAAATTTGGTAGGCTTCTTTAATACTAAAAAATCTAGTGCTCGATCGTGGCTTTTTTTTTCGTTGTATATTTTTTTTACTGATAAAAAAACGAGCGAATTTTTGATAGAAGAATCGTACTTTCGAATTTGAACAGCCGCCATTTTGTCGCAAATTAATTTTTCAAAAAAATGAACCATTCAGGCACTAGATAATCTTATATATTAACTAAATTTGCTGGGCTTTTTGATTTCAGATAAACCAGCTCAAAGCTAGAGTGGTCACCGCAAAACGCTTCTAAAAAAACTGTTTCTGGGAGATTACTCACATCTTCCTTATTTATCGATATTTTCCAATAAAAAAAAATACTAAATTATCCTCGAAATACATATATTTGAAGACATAAACGTTCATTTCAAAAGCACTTCAAGTTTTTTCAAAAGAAATTCCCAAGAATACGTGTTTTTCCGACTTTGCAGATAGACATAACCCTTTAAAATAAGTAGAAATAAAGAGAAATAAAAAATACAAGAAATCATCTTAGCGAGTATAAAGTCTGGTAAAATATCTGGGAGATAAAAATTCTAGTTTAATACAGCTTAGTTTATTTTAAGTTAAATTCTAATTTAATACAGCTTAGTTTATTCTCTCTCTCTCTCTCTCATAACAGAGAATTTTTTTACATAATAAAACAAAAGTTAAATTGTTACAATTTTAACGTACTCCATTTTGTTTGAATGCTTGGAAATTAATCAGTAAAAATACGCGTCAGCACATAATTTTATTAACAATTCTTATGAATCACATTATTATGAAAATCGCAGATAATCTTAATATTAATTTCTAGAATTACTTTCCAGATGTGAACTTTGATAAGCCCTCCAATAGGCTAACGTAGGCTGTATGCTCATAGCATGTGCTCAAATCGATCAGTTTCTCTGCAAATTCGTTTGAGATACCTTTCTCTTCGAGGTAGTTCATCAGTAGATCGTACAGATACTGCAAAATAAATAAATAGTATTTAATTTAATAGCTGATTTATCTTATAATAAAAAAAAACTTAATTTAATTTATGTAGGATTATTTTATGTCTTAGTTACAGAAATATTCAGATCTGAAGAAGGGAGAATTAAGAAAACATATCAACGGAAGAGTTAGAATGAAACGTGTCACATTCTTATTTCAACGAACACATGACAAAAGATCATGAGTTAATTTTATAAGAACGTTAATGATTTTCCAAAGATCAATAATCAAAGCAGCCTTAATACAGCTACTTTGTACTCAACACTTTGGAGATATATTTAATCTTTATGCATCAAATTAAAATGTACTTTAACTTCTTTATTTTTTATTCAAAACTCTGAATATCAAAGCAATGGCCTACATAGCTGAGAGATAAATTTGAAACTCGAATATCGGGGGCTTTTAAGTTTTTAATATTTATTACTATATGTAAAAATAATTATTAATATATTTAATTATTTAGTTAAACTAATTTTTACATAAAATAATAATCACAGAGATATAGAGATAGTATAATAATTCCTTACGTCTTTGAAAATCATACTTACCCCGTCGACGATTTCACCAGCTACGGAGTATACTTTTTCATTGTGTTCGCCTTCGTATAGCGTGATTTCATCAATACCAAATATGTCATCTGTAAAAAAATTAATAATACATGAAAATTAAAATTTAAGAAATAATATAAACAGTCCAACAAATCGCTTATTGCAAATGTACTTACTAAAATTATCATCGGCACCTGATGCACCAGCTTGGTTGTTAAAAGAACATGAAAAACCTAGAGTCTGATTACCCCTCACTATATCTACTGTAAAATTCGGCTTGCTCTTCATTTCGCCAATATCTACATTATCACTAGAAGGATTCATTTCTGTTTCAGTATCTGCGTCTACTGTATGGTTCACATTAAATGAAATACGGATACTGGAAAAAAATATTATAGGTTAGATACATCATAAATCAACACTTTAAATCCATGAGCAATATATTTTATGTAGTGGAACAAGATTGTATCTAGTTGCATGAAGGATATGGTTAGAAATGCTGTGATATACTATTGAGTTTATATTGTATTAAGTTATATGACATATTTATGTATATTTGTAGTTATATATTGTATAGTATATACTATAGTCAGGCTGTGATGTGTAGGTATTAAATATTATAAGATAGAGGAATCTATACTGTGATACTCTGATAGTGAGCCGAGATAGAATAAAGTAACATAGATACTCAGATACTTAGGAACGAACAAAAGTAGAGAATAAAAATAAGATATTTTTTCTTTGCGGTGTAGTGCATAAAGAAATTTAGACAGAGTCAAATAGTTAGGTTCTTTTTGCAGTGTGGAAGGATGAGTGTGGTTAAGAAATTATTGTAAACCAAGTCCCTTCTTGGCAGTTGTAATGCTGAAGTAATAAAGATCTATCTATAAACATTTTAAATCCATGGGTGCGTTCAGCAGAACGTTTGTTTTGCAACTGTTGGAAGTTTCCTTCGCGCTAATTGGATCATACTTTTAGATCTAGAAGAATGGTCCTATCTCAGCAGACAATCATAAAACGGTTGCAAAACTGTTGAGTCTGCTGAACGCAGCTCATGTATCAATATGACAATATTTTCTTACGTATCGGTGCCGTCTTTCTTTTCAAGACTGACTTCAGCACCATTGAGGGACAATGAAAAGCCATCTAATGTTGTCGGTATCATCTTCAATTTCTGTGCCTTCTTTTCCGCTACTATTTCCTCAGCCAGAAATTCTACTAATTCCTTCTCCGCTAATAAAAAAAAAGACACAATTAGTAAAATGAACAAGCAGAAATATATAAAATTACATATTTCTGTATGCAAAATAGAAAAAAGCATGCTTGTTGGCAAAATTTTAGATTGTCATACTTAAGAAAGATCAAATTGCATAGTGCACAAAGCAAAATTAAATAGAATTTTAAAAACGATGTAAGAAGTCTATGTACTCGGAGAGAATTTACAAATTATAAGACTTGGTCTGTTCTTTACAGCACTGCATATTATACTCTTGCAGTTAAATTATACGTTTAGAGAAAAAGAAAGAACAGATGAATGAAAAGATGAATAAAAAGTTTACAAGTAAAGACATCTAATAAATTTTTCAATTGCATCAGCTTACATCAGATTTGAGAAAACTTAAAAGATCGCTATTCAATGGAAAAAGAAAAAAGGGGATGTTTCAAGTCACAATTAGCGCTTAAAACATTTTCGTTTCCGAGTTGAACACTTTTTCTACAAACGTGGAAATCAACAAAAGCACGTGTGGTCTCGGTCATGGAGACGATCGACGCGTGGTTTATTCGACGCGATACCTTCGTCGACGGGTCGATACCTTTGGTGTGCGACGTGCTGTAACATTTTTGGACGCGGAGATCATGCAGTTTAGGCGTGGAAATGAGAGGCGTGATCTCGGCGATTTGCCGGCGACCACACACGTTCCACAGAGCCCTGGCGGGTTGGCCGCTGCGGTTGCTGCTGCTCGAGGACGACAGCATGCCGCGGATTGCCGTGGTGCGAAACGCGCTCCTTACGATGCCGTTCATGATGGAGGAAAATTAACGGCAGAAAATTACACGATACAACGTGATGAATACGGCAAGTACGGCGTCCAACACGAGAGAAATGATTGCGTCACGGCGATCCCTGTCCTGTGCCGAGCTTCCGGTGCGCAGCCAGTTTCTGGCGACGCACGTGTGTTATGCTGGGGTGCGTTCCAAAACTCGACTCTATCAACTCCGAGTATCATTTATCCTTGTTTTTCACCGAATGTTGAACAAGGATAAAAGATACTCGGAGTTGATAGAGTCGAGTTTTGGAACGCACCCCTGGATTCACACTGCATCCGATTTTCGTCGTACGACACTTTGCATCCAATCAGAAAATAGATTTCCGATAATACGAAGTAAAATTCATCGGAATCCTGTTTTCTGATTGGTTGCAGAGCGGTCGTACGACGAAAATCGGATGCAGTGTGAATCCAGCATAACACATACGTCGCCAGAAATTGGCTGCGCACCGGAAGCCCGGCACAGGACAGGGATCGCCGTGACGCAGTTCACAAAGCTCGACGCTGCCATGTAAAAGTACCTTTATTTTATGTCGTTCTTCACAGCTGCCAGGAAGTTACGTTTTCAGTTTTGCAGTTGGCAATATTGAAATTTTATCGGCCGATCAAGTTAATCGGAGTTGGTGCGACTGGTCCCTAGAGGGAAAAGGAAGAAGATTTCCGAACAGTCCAAATTCAATGGCTGCGTTCAGCAGAACATTTATTTTGCGACTGTTGGACGTTTTCTTCGCGTTGATTGGATTATACTTTTAGGCCCGTTTTCAGAACGCTTTTACCTCTGAAATTCTATAATATGCGTGACGTAAAGCTGGTTCCACATTAGTCGCGTCGCAAGCGTTGCGGTCCAATCAGAGTCAAGCTAGATCGATGTTGATTGGACCGCAACGCTTGCGACGCTACGATGCGACTAATGTAGAACCAGCTTTAGTGCGCTAACATTATAAGCACAATGGCTGCGTTCAGCAGACTCAACGGTTTTGCAACCGTTTTATGATTATCTGCTGAGAGAGGACCATTCTTCTAGATCTAAAAGTATGATATTGCGGTCCAATCAGCGCGAAGGAAACTTCCAACAGTTGTAAAACAAACGTTCTGCTGAACGCAGCCATTCTGAATTCGGGCTTTATGCGGGGTCTACAATAGAAGTCGTAGCGGTCATAGGGCCTTAAAACATAGAAAATTGACCAATCAGAGTCAATTATTCTTCTCATATTTGATTGTGATTAGTTAATTTTCTACGACTTAAAACTCTACAACTGCTAAAACTTCTATTGTAAACCCCGCATTAGATTTTGAAGAATGGTCCATCTCAGCAGACAATAGGTGCATTCAGTACTACGATCGCTCACTGAGCGCTCAGTGAGCTCTTGCATCTGATTGGCATATTCCATTAGAACTAAAAATATAGACCAAACAGATTCAAGAGCTCACTGAG